ATATAAAAGGACCTTTACCAATGACGAAACAAGGCAACAGATATATTATTGTTGCTATGGATTATTTAACAAAATGGTCAGAAGCAAGAGTCTTAAAGGATATAAAAGCTACTACTGTTGCTGACTTTATTTATAAAGATATTGTTTGTTGACATGGAGCACCTACTATATTACTCTCTGATAGAGGAACAAAATTCATGAGTACTGTAGTTGAAGAATTATGCAAGAAACTACAAATAAAACATCATAAATCTTCTGCTTACTATCCACAAACAAATGGTATGATAGAAAGATTTAATCGAACAATTGTTGAAGCATTGACAAAAATAACAAGCTATCAATATAAAGAGTGGGATGAAATCCTTTCTTCTGTATTGTTGGCTTATAGAACCATGAAGCATGGAACTACAAAATTTACTCCATTCTCATTAATATATGGACGTGAAGCCAAACTACCAATTGAAACCATCGTAGAAACTTATTACGAGGAAGATATGTTATTTCAAGAAGCTCTATTAAAAAGAATATTTGAAATAGAAGATGTTTTATTAAAGCAACAAGATGAAGCTCAAGAAAATATTAAAGAAGCACAAAAACAACAAAAAGAACAATACAACAAACATATTAAAAGCAACAAATTAAAAATTGGTGATAAAGTATTAGTAGCAAGATCCAACCTTAAAAATATTTTTTCAGCAAAATTAGAGGAACAATTTATGGGACCATATATAATTCATGACATTTTGGATTATGGAGTTTACAAACTACGAACATTTTCTGGCAGAAAAGTAAAAGATCCAGTTCATGGGGATCGATTAAAACTTTATAATGATAGAAAAATAGAAGACCTTCCTGTACCTCAAATAATAATTACACAAGAAAATCATTAGTATATCACAGTGTTCTTTGTATTACTTTAATTTTTATAAATATACCCTTTGTTCTTATTCATGCCCCATTATTTTAAAATTCCTTAAAATTTAAATTTCTAAAAATAACCACAAAAATTTTTAAATTTATTATTCTATTTATATATTTATAACATCTATTTTTACTATTTTATTTTATTATCTTATTATATTATATTTTATTTTATTTTATTTATTAAAATGGAAGCATTATTAAACAACAGCTTTTCACTAGAAGCATTACAAGGACTTGGACAATTTTTAACTGAATGGAAAAATAACCTGACTCAAAAAAATCATTACAATTAATTCAAGATTAATTAACTTTAAAGATTAATGAAACTGAAATAGTAGGAACTTCAACTGAAGAATTTGTTAACTAAATTTCTACAACTTTCGTTAACAATAAGTTACTCTTCGAAGAATTTATTAATGACCAAGCCTGGGATGAAGTTTTACTCAAAGACCTTTTGGACACTAATCAAAAACAACCATTAGACTATAACCAAAGTATTAAAAAGAAAAGGAAAAATAAAAAGATAATAATTGTTGACCAAATTATTGAAGAACTAAAAATCGAATGTGAAACAAGTGAAGAAAGAAGCTCACCATTTGGGAATGAAAATAACTTATCAACTGTGATCAGAATTATAAACCAAATTCATTGTATTGGAAAACAGAAGAGATACCGAGCACAGATAGATCGTTTAGAAGCAGCATTCTATCTGGGAAAATTAAAGAAGGAAAATGAATAAATCAGTGACCAAATTAAAAGAAAATTAAAAACAGAACTGGGAGAACAAAAAGCAAAAAGAATACAAAAACAAGCAACTAGAACCTATCTTTTATACTCCAAATATGGTCTAGAAAAGCTCTACAGAACAACAAAAGTTAATACGACAGTATTAGAAGAACTAACCAGACCAATTCAACCAACTAGTCCAATAGAAACAAAAGAAATAACAAAAGTTAAAGAATAAATTTTATTCATTTGGCACAGGGATACTATCAATTAAATCCCGCAAGTTTTCTATTTCAGCTCTTAAAACACTCTGTTCCGCCACCAAATTCGCATATTGAATGTTCCTTTCCCAGTTCCCTGCCTGAACTGCTCCAATACAAAAGGTAGCAGACTCAACTTCATATTCCAAATCTTCCACTTGTCATTCTAACTCTGTCATGTCACTTCATAAAACCGCCACTTCACTTCTTAATGCCACTACTTGTGTTCACAACATCCTAACTTTTCTAGCTAGTCTAATTAATCATTATATTAATAATAATAATATTATTATTTTATTATTATTATTATTATTTATTATTTTATTATTATTTTGAATTACCTTCGATTTTTATTTT